TACTCTAAACCAACACCCCGGGGTGCCTAGATACCTCTTCTAAGTTTCGCAACAGTTCCGGTCACATGACTTCTTTGTTCAATACTGTATATATATATTCGTGTCAGTGTAAATTACTTGTACCTGATGATGATAAAACCTAGTCGAAACGTTGTACATTTGCTGTTATGTTAAACTTATATTAAAGTTTTTCTTCATTACCCATTCAAGCCGTCTCCAGCCATTAAAAAAGGGAGACATTTGCCCTAAAAATTTATCAGACAGGGAATGCGGGATCAGGAAGCGAGGTACAGGTGCACATTGTGGTGGAGACTGCTGTTCGGAGACTTCAAGGCATGATCGTTTACCAATGAGCGTAGTTTTTTACTTTATTTTTTTTGTATGGGGGATCCATAATAAAAGGAGGGAGATTCAGAGCCCACTGACTCCACCCACCATGGAGTCCTATGAGGGGACGCACTACAATGTCAAACAAGGACATTGTAGCAACGCCAGGGTTTCGTGAGCACTATACCCAAACACAACACCCATTGAGAATGCCCAACACTTGTACTCAGTTGACCCTAGCCCGATGGGAACGGCCGATTGACCCTGGGGGGCCACCCGTCTACAGAAATTCGAGGACAAAGTGGCGTGTTGCAGTGCCCCAGACACCACTCAACCACCAGGATCCTCTCCTCCCCTCCACGGGTCGCCACGCACGGTAAACATGGGTGGATGTTCAGATCCCAGAGGAGGAAACTGAAAATATAGAACCTTCCCCCTGGGAGGTCCCCTCACCACGCACAGGAATCCACCTCGAGGGGTGGCAGAACACAACGCTCAGGAATGCTGTCATCTCTAAAATAATAAATACTATAAACTGTCTGTTGTTATAAAAACTATATGATAGTCCACTGGCTGCCTTGTATGTGTCCCCGGTAAGTCTGAGTGATTATAACTCTAAAATCTGGTTTCGATACCCGCAATGAGCAAAGTAGAAAGAACCCATTGTGTAGGTTTGTGCTTGCAACGACAAACAAAACCTTGTACATCCCGAGTCACACATTGAAATATACAATTTATTGTTATTTTCTCCCTTACGTATTGATTACCCCATGAGCAAAATTAATAATACTTTTCAAAGATGTATAGGAATATTTCAGATATTTTAGTACTAGTTGAAGGAAGTATTGGTATTACGGCCAAAAATACTGTTAACAGTAAGAGTATACCCAGCTAACGAATCTATGTTTATTTGTGTTTTGTTGTTTTTTCATGCAAGTTTTCAATCAGGATAAATATACAGATGAGAAATTTCACTACCTTAGTTCACATTTTTTGTAACACAGTTGGAATCTATTGTCTCTCACATCTGAACGCCATGATATGAAGTCAGGGTTCAATATGGAATCTGGTCACTAGATATTAAAACCTGTCTTTCTACAAGCCATTACTATAACCTATTAACTTTCATTGAAACTACAAATTGATCTTGAAAATGTGATAAAATCCTAAAATTAATAACTTGTATAGATGATAAAGATGTATAATTAACAAAATATATCCAATTTATATCAGCTATTTAATGCAATAAACTCTCATTTAGTTAGTGTAAGTAGTAATGAATTAACCCAGTTATGAATTACATGAATTAGCAAATTAACAAGCCAACAGACATGTATGTCACATGACATGCCAGCAGCTGCTAGATCTGGTGAGACAAAGCAGAGTCAGTAATTCAGGATTTCCAAGCCATTATAAACTAGCTGATATTATACCCTGCAAGCTAAAAAAGTTTTATTTATTTAAAGTTTTTTTGAGCACACTTTAAAGACAATGACAGAATTTGAATTTTATTAGTTTTTCAGTAAATAGCACTGCATTTTGTAATTAACGTTTGTTTGGAGACAAACAGCCACTAAAAAAAAGTAACTTTGAATTGAGTCTTACCAAGTCAAGTCTTTGATTATTCATAAAACTTTGTTCACCATTGTAAATTCTAGAGATTATATTCTTATGTTTGGCAAAATAAAATGATTATGTTTCACATTACAAAGCTTGTTTTCTTATCTTTCTAGCTTATATTTGTATCACTGCAACTGTTTTAATATTATATGTATTTTGGTTAATGCATTACTGTTTAATCACGAAGTTAATTGTATTAAAATCTGTTGTGAAGTAAACCTGATTAAAAGCAACACACAAAGATAAATCAGTATTTCTCATCACTACAATTCTATAACATAAATATTTGTGGTAATACATCAAGTACTTGTTTGCAGTACTTTACAGTGGATCACTGCTTTAACGTCAAGTTAAGCCTCGGGATTTTACATATTAAACATCTTGAAAAGTACAGACAATAAAAATTGTGTATGTTACCAAATCAGTTTGATACAATCCATAATGCCAGAGTAATGTAGAAACAAGATACAATTCACAGAGAGGGTGTACTGGAATAGTTCCAAGTAACTTCCTGAAACTCTCTACAAAACACTCATTATATCCAATATCTGGTACTAGTGATGAACTAAGATGTTCTTTCAGTAATGAGATGAGTAAAAACTGCATAATAATGACTTTCAAACTGTTTGGTTAGCTAGATGTGATGGGAAAAGTGAAAGTAATCTGCTGAAAGGACAAGAACGTTGAAGCAAGTATGGCTAGAATTACAGCATAAGGAGTAACTTAACAAGGTACAATACTTCCAGTCATAAGGCATATAAAAATCAGCATTAAAGATTGAATGCTTGCAAAAGCAAATCCTCACAATATTAAATGTATGTCTTATAGCTGAAATAATTTTATTAGTGTTATGTACAAGGTATGAAAGTTCCATATTAAGTTTTTAGGGCCTTCTACTTGTAACAAATTCTAGCTTCTGATGTACACTAATGTGTGCTATTTGTTATAATAGGTGGTCATACTAGGACGATTAGTAGTTCATAGTTTGTTTGTTTGTAATTAAGCACAAAGCTACACAACGGGCTATCTGTGCTCTGCCCACCACGGGTATCAAAACCCGGATTCTAGCATTGTAAGCCCGCAGACATACCGCTGTGCCACTGGGGGCAGTAATTCATAGATAATGTCAATTTATATAACATTGTTACTGAGCATACCTTATTATTGACAACTTATAATCAAAAAGTAAGCTAAATATAAAGATAACAACTAAATTCATTTGAAAGTAACTTAAATATTAAAGAGAACAATCTTATATAATCATTCTTAATATTAAAAATTGTAAATCAAAACATCATAAAATTTAAATCTGTAATGATTAAAATTCACTGAATTATCAGAATAATTAAACCATTTGAAGCTTTGTACCATCAGTTTTAGTAAATGCTCCTGAAGAAGCTGTAAACGTTGAGTGTTTAATTAAATAAAAATATTTTGTTTTTATAAGATCATTTATAAATAATTTAAAAAATATTTAAGGAATCTAACTATATAATTAATACTTGAAACAGTCTGTGCCTGATGAAGCCTTTACTGGCAAAACCATGGTCGTAATTGTTAATATATACATGTTGACAGACAAATAGTAAAATGGTGTCTCATGCTTAGTAAATGCTGCTATGTTATCATTGTATTAATATATACATGTTGACAGATGAACAGTAAAATGTTGGATTGTTTATTAGATCTAGTAATTGTATGTGTGCTATTAGTACTGGCATATTAATGGCAATAGCTTAAGATTGTAGATACATAAGTAGCATATCATAAAATTAATCTCGGCATATATGTTGCAAGTTCCTTTCACTTACAATAGTGTTGGAAGACTTACATATTATTTTATGTACACTATACTCTGTGTGGTAGCTTCATCAGGCAAAGCATCATGCAAAATATTAGGTTAATTAAAACAACATTACTGAAACTATTATAAATTTTACTATAAAAACTTTTCAAAATTATGACTTACACTTTTAACTTCAGTAAGTTTCAGAGACAAAAAATAACTTTCTTGAGTTCAAATGTACTTAGTAATTTAGAATTCCTAGATTTATCTTTGTCTGAGAATTTAGTTGTCTATAATGATTCAAAATTAGAACCCTTGTATTAATCCATCACTTAAGGTGCTCTTCTATAAATATTTAAATAAAAGCTCTTTTGCATTTCTTTCCATACACTTTGACACCTTGTGAAACTCTCATTAAGTCTGGATAAACTAATGTTAACTGTAATAGTATGTATGCAGAATCATAAAGCTATATACACTAAAAACTTCATTATCCACATTTACATATCCGGAAAGCTCTTGTAACCAAAAATTTCAATATCTCCAAATATAAATTCTCATTGTTGCTTAATGGCACTGTTGTGGCTTTGTTTACATTCCTTTTGCCGGGAAGTTTCATTTGTTAGCTGCCTTGTACTGCGATTCACATTTAAAATATTGTACTTATGTTTTTATACAGTTTAAGGTTTTTTACTACAATTATTATTGTTTAAAACTGTTATTGTTAAAGACGATGTAGAAATACTGTACTTTAGATCATGAACAAGGTGTCAAACATTTTCCTGTAAAATATTATAAGGGCAATGCTTTTGTAACTGGAATTTTCAATTATCTGGCACTGCCCACATCAAGCAGATGCCCAATAATAAAAGCTTTTACTATATATGCATATTATTTCCAAATTCCAAACCTGGAGGTGAAGTCAGTCAACCTATATAAATTCTTCACATGTACATTCCTATGGACTTTTTTGGTTACCTTACCCATTATTAGTTAATAGTAATGCATCTTTAAAATGTTATCTAGTGAACTAAGAACAAATTTGCTACACATATTTCAATAGAGTTTATTGCATACATGTACAAAAGACTAATGAGTAATTATGTGTCAACTGTATACTAAGAATATGTCACACAATTTCAAGATTTCTTCTTTTTACTAGAACAAGAGATTCCCAAAAAAAATATAATAGCACCTTCCATAACAAACACTTTCCATGGGAAAAAAAGTTTCCACATTGTCAGCATTTTATTTATGATTATTTCATACACTTGAACAACAGTTATTACACAGTTATATATGTATTCAAAGTTTACAAAGAGTGGAAATATAAATCAATGTATTTTATTATGTTACACAAAAGTTTAAAAACGTTATATAAATGACTTAACAAAAATAGCACTGTTCTATAAATGGAATAATACTTGATAAAAAGTAATTGTCACTGTACAAGTTCACATTATAAATGAATATAGATATATTGTTGGCACTTATCACTTACTTCAAATTACTTAAAGTAATAATTATAAGCAAGTCATAAAAGTTAATTTTTACTGAAGTTATACAAAACAAATTAAAATGTTTAAGCAGAAGAACACTTTCTTTCTAGTTACGTATTGAAGAAGAATGTCAACTTTATCTTTGTCCCATCTACTAATCTCAACCAAACATGCCTAATTGTCTGTTCTGAGACAATTTCTTCACAATGAACACACATCAATCACTAAAAACAGGATGGTATCCTGAAATACCTTTCACATACATTCATAGTGTAGTACTATAGGACAAAAATAATAATCATAATCAATATTCAAAATAAAACAGCATTTTGAATCTTTTTTTTTTTCCCTGTTAAATCATATGATTTTTTTTCTTCAATATATACATAAAATTACCATATTGCAAGAAAACATCATAAAATAACTTTATAATTGATGATTTTCATTACATACGAAACTGGAATCTTTTATGGAATTAGAATATTTATAAATTTCATGGAATAACCAAAAGCTATGATTTGTTGGTGATTAAAAAAAATTAAGTTCCTTAAAAAATTTGCACCAACACTTTAGAAAGTTTTAAAAAATTAATCTAAACTATAATTTCTAAAAGCCTTGGTAGATCCTTATGTGACTTAGTTTTTACTAACCAAAACTAGTTTACATGTACAAATAGTTATTTTAATATTTCTCATTTTTTATATATCAATACATGAGGTTATTTGTAATAAAGTCCTTACTTCCTTTAAGAATGCAGTCTATCACATGGGATTACCAAGATTTAACTGGGAAAGTAGCTTGCATGTGTCAATATAACACTGTTCAGTAGCCCAAATGAGGTAAAGTCGATTTTAACCAACATCACATTCCCCCTCCCTGAGACAGAAATTTATAGATTCAGTTTTACTAGTTTAATTCACTTGTTCTCTTGCAGCACCTGAAAAAGATGTACAAGATTTTTGAGTCCTAAAAGAAACCCATCCTCGTGGTTGCCCATCTGCCAAGGATCATGATGCGAGATATGTACTTCTGGTGGTAATGGGCGTGTTTTGGCAAAATCAATCAACCAGATGCCAGCATTCTTGGCGTCATGAACAAACAACAGAGAACTTCCAATAAGCTGTTATAACAAAACACTTATTAATCAAATTACTGCACACATTATAATGGATATGTTTTAACAAAATCAAGCAACCAAACTCTACGTGTAACATTATGTTGAAAACAGAAAATTTTCTATAAGCTATAAGTGACATGAAATATTCTTAAATAGCAAAAACACAAATATTCTTCATGATACTCAATTGGAAGACCAACCATATTCTAGCTGCTTTAATTTAAAAAATGTTACCAATATTATTCTCCAAATGTATACGCTCATACTCATCAAATGATCATCTTCAAAGCCACATAAATGATGCCTTACTAATTTTTTACTGAACATAAAATTAATTACTTTCTTAAATGTTATAAAACAAAGAAACCTCCTTATTCTTTACAAGTATAATTTTCTTAAAACTATGGCTTAACCACTGCAATTCCTCACTAATTCAGTGAATGTCAAAAAAATTCCTGAGCATCTAATAAAACTTAAACAATATAATAACTTCGAGCAATAACATAATAACTATTTCAGATTTCATTTAATTTACTGATATTTTACATTGTCTTTTTTTTTTACCGACAAAACATTGTGGTCTGTAACTCATGAAGTACTTGTTAATATATTCACCAACTTTTCCTTTATCTTTATTTCTTTACTATTTAACTTCAACTTTGTAATAATATGTGCAAAAGAGGTATCCTACATACATGTGGAAATTCCTGAAGATCATTACCATGATAACAGGAACCTTGTCCTTAAAAAAACATTCTGTGAAAAGTTATATCTGGATTTTTAGGTAGTAGTTAAAAATCTCATTAGGGTTTGGTTATTTGAAAGCAAAGCCACACTGGGCTATCTGCTGTGTCCACCGTGGGGAATCAAACCCTGAATTTTAGCATTCTAAGTTCTTAGACTTACTGCTGTCCCATCAGGGGACCTCATTAGGATAATTAAGGGATATGACCATAAGTTCCTAATTTCATTTTTGAATGTGTGTGTGTGTTATTTTAAATTTAAAGAATGTGTGATTTATGAGTTAGGCCTTCAGCATGTTGCTTGCTATAATGATACTTGTCAATACTAAAGTGATAAGCATAACAATTGTCCAATGTGCAGTAGACATCAAAAACCCATGTTACAAAAGTATAGATTTGGCTCCAAAAACTGTGGCAGGTCATTAGAAATATGTTTGGGCAATTTCTAACTTTCAGATTAATAGTCTGTTTATTTTTGACCTACTGGTACAGTTACTGGTTTCTTTATAGATCAGCCAAAACTTTGAATTTCATAAAATTAAAATGTGTGTGTGTGTGTGTGTGTGTGTATATATATTTATATAATGTGCTAGAAGAAACAAAGAATGCAATCAAACAGCATACTTAATTAATTTAGTTTTGTAATCATCTGAACATCAACAGAATATAAATACATTTTGCTTATCATTATAATGAACTTTGTATTTCAGTTACTGAAAGTTATATGTGGGTCATTACAATATCACAACAGTCCATTATTTCAAATCCGTCTCATAACAAGCTCACAAACAAATCTAGCATAGAATTAAACTTAAAAATCTCAAAATTATCAATAAGAATTATATACCAGCACAAAATTTCATACATAACAAAATGTCAAAATAAAAAGTACCAACCTCGTGACTTGCAAAGAACTTTGATTTTTCCAGAACACTGTATAGGTCCTTCAGGCGACTCATGTACTTTTTCTTTGGAATATACAGAAAACAAAACCCTTCATTCACTCTTTTCAGAAGTCACATAATCAAGTTACTTTTCTTTATAATACAACCAAAAGCTTAAAAATTTCCAGAAATAAAACCACCACACATGAAAAGAAAAATTTACATTTTTTTAATTAAACATGAAAATTAGTTTATATCAAACATGTAGTAGCAATAACAGAAATCTGTAGATCTCATTTAAATTATGTTACTTAAAAATGAGGTTCTGTGTTATCCACATCATGCAGATGGTCAACAGGAATAAGTAAGAGACTCACCACAACATCAGGATAGCCATCTGTAAATGTCTTTAATACTGCTAAAACTTGCTCTTTAGTTTTGGTTTTCTTGAAATCCTTAGTAGAAGACCCATCAGCTTTCTAGGAATATTAACAAAAAATAGTAAGTCACTAAGATTTTTGTTTTCACTATTATATTTCATACAATGTATAACAATCCTAAATGGTATTTTATTATCTTTTAGACAGATGAGTGAAAAGCCTTTTAACAGTTTATAATATAATGATTTGAAGATAAAAGTAATTAAAAAACTACCAAAAGTTGTGAAATATAATTATATTTAAATGTCTTTTTGTCACCATTAGACATCCAACCAGTAGGTTATTTTGTCAGTACTAAGAACAATATGTTACCTTCTAGATTGGTTGGCATTGTTATGACAGCGGAAGTCACGTAATGCTGTTAGCACATGCGTGACTGAGTTTCTAGAATTACTGGTGAAACTCGAGTGTGATCGAGACACCTCTTTGTTAGTATATAAGCCTGGCAGAGAAAGCCAGCGGATATATAGATTGTGAATCGCTGTGACTTATAGCGTGTATTATAAAAGTTGTTAAGTTTAAAGTGACGAGAAACTTACTGACTGTGGAATTACTGTGTACTAAAAGTTTGTATCAAGAAAGAATAAACTGGTTTAATCAAGAAGGGATTTGTATCACTGAAGTTCCTTGGGAAGAATTTATACAGGAAATTATCAAACAAGCAAATACGTAACAAATTGGTGTCAGAGAGTGGGACGGAAAAGAAAAAAAAAAGAAGAAGGGCATGAGAAGTGGCAAATCAAACTACAGCTTAGCAGATTTGAAGGCAGCAATACAAGAACAGCAAAAGAAACAAGAAGAGAGACAACAGCAGTGGAAA